AGTTTGATCGGGTTTTAATAGCCTCTTTTGGGTTGATTTTGAGGATAGATTAGTGATTTAATCTTGATCTTGGTGTTTGGGTTGGATTTGAGGTTGGTTGGAGGCATAGGTGAACGTACCCCTCTCAGGGTATGTTCGCCGCGGCGAAGTATACTTCGCGGCGGCGCACCGGGAGTTTCAGAGGGGGGTGTCTTCTCGGGAAGGTTTGGCCGCGGCGAAGTTGTTCAGGTGAGCGAGGCTTCCCTTTCGGGAAGGTTTCGCCACGGCGAAGGTAGGGGTATGCCGCAGCGAATGTTTTCTGGGCGAGCGAGAGTTTCCTCTCGGGAAGCTTTCGCCGCGGCGAAAATTGGGGTTCGCCGCGACGAAGTCAGGTTTTCAGGCGACTAATTCCTCTCGGGATTAGTTCGCCGCGGTGAAAGGTCGCGAATCTATATATTCGCGAGAGCAGTCAGCGTGCGAAAAATAAGAAAATCTGAGGAGAAGAGAGGAGCTCTGCTAGGGTTTCGTTGTTGAGGCTTGGGAAAGGCATTTCTAAGGATCCATTACCTCAAGTAAGTGATTTTAACCTCTAATCTTCTTCCTTTCTTGGGATTTCTTGGAATCTAAAAGGAATTATGGTGAAACCCTAGGATTTTCTAGGTTGTGTTGGAACTGAGGTTTTTGACCGATTGTTTTGAGTTTAATTAATTGCATTGGGTTAGTTTAAGTGTTTAATCGGTGTAGTTTCCTTGGATTTAAAGAATCTTGAATTTTTGGAGCTAGGGTTTATGGAATTGGATGATTTGGGATTGAGGATGATAATGTAGAGATTGATTTTGAGTTTTGTGAATCGGGTTATGTTAAGGAGGGTTAAATTGGATGTTTAATCGGTTTAGATTTGTTGTTGGAACCTTAATTGCTCAAATGAGATGTTGGAGGTTGAATTCCTATAGTGGGTCCTTGAGGTTTGAACTCTAATTGATGCTTGGAAGGAGACTTGATGTTTTAATAGACTTTGAGGACTTTGGAGTGTTGTTTTGATAGTTATACCCTTTGAGTTGGGTAGAGTTTTGATGGAAGATAGGAATTTTGTGTCCCCAAGTATTGTTTTGGCCACATTATTAGTTTGAAAGCTAATATATGTTGGTTGTATGTTTGTGTGCTTGTGTAGACCGGTTGTGAGTCTTGGTGGTGCACGGGGCCACATTGTTGATTATTATTCCTTGCTCAGGCGAGAGGTAACCACTTTCCAATCCTTAGTACTTGCTTCTATGGTATTGTGAGTAGATTTGTGTTTTGTGCTCCAAATAGTAATTGTGTTCAAACTATATGTTGTATATAAAAAGGGAAAACCGTCTTGTGGGGTTTTGATTTATGATGAATGAATCTTGGAATTGTGAAAGATATGCCACTGAATGAGGTTAATTGTGAAATGATTGTTACTCTTTGCTTATGATTTGAGCATGATGCATTAATTGGGAATTGGTGAGAGTCTTGTCTGTTACTACCACGTGGTAAGGCCTCCATTAATGCATGATGGTTGGCTTAGTACGTCCCCCATAGTGAGGGATAGGCCTTTTGGCTCCCTACGTCCCCCAGAGTGAGGGATAGGCCTTTTATGGCTCCTTACGTCCCCCATAGTGAGGGATAGGCCGGGTTCGGCTCCTGAAAATCCCCAAAAGTGAGGGATTTGATTGATGGGATTGCATCATTGCACTTGCATGAATTGTTGTAGCTATCAATATATATATATGATTTGTGAACTGCCCCACTTGACACCTCACGAGCACCTATTTAGTAGTACCTAGTATTGGAAAGGTTGGTTACTGGGACTTTGTCTCACCCCGTGGTTTACAATATTTTCAGGTGAAGGTTCTAGGCGTGCGCTTTCGGGAAGAGACGCAGAGGCTTGAGCTTGGTTAGCTTTAGGCCTCTAGCCTTTGTTTATGTATGGCTAGTTGTATATTGCCACGTTTAGGGTCCTTTTAAACTATTTTGATTGCCAGGTTTATTTGTAAACTGGAGGAAGTGTATCTTCTTCTTATTTTAATTGGGCCGGAGGCCCCTTTTACTGATTATGGAACTTGGATTTACATGGTTGGAAACCATTTGGATGGGCTAATTTTGTTGTCTTTTGTTACCCGAGCCGGAGGCTCGGAGGCCCAGTGATTGTGATTGAATGATAATAGTTGCATGCAACTGTGTTTGAGATGGAATCAAGTTTTAAATGTTAATTTTTCTAAAATTACGCAATTTCTTTCTACTATGGTAGTTGTTGTAACATCTTTCTTTTTCTACCATAGTAGTGGTCTTATGACGAGTTATAATGTTTTAAGGTTAAGGGTTTTACATTTGATAAGATTTTGAAGTTGAGGTTGTGCACGAGTAGCTAGAAATAGATCGTGTTCAGTTCGTCTTTTTCTTTTTCTTTTTCTTTTCTTTTTGTTTGCTAATGTTCGCTATATGTAGATGCTTCAATGAGTGATTTCTCAACATTCATCGCAATCTTGAGACAAGAAATCTTCAAATTGCATCCCTTTTTTTAGGTTCTTGGTTAAAATTTGTCTCCTTTCTTTAAGATTTTCTCTCCTCTCTCTCCAAATTCTCTTTGTGCACAATTTCCCTCTCAATGTTGACCACAAAATCAGTAATAGATGTGAGCCATCCATTGTATCTTCACCCTCCTCACACCCAAGTGGTGACTCTTGTCCCTCAAATCTTAACTAGATCAAACAATTATGTTGTTTGGAGCTGTGCTATGCGCCTTGCCCTCAAAGGAAAGAACAAAGTAGGTTTTATTGACGGAACTTATAGTCGCACTAAGGAGCCTAAGTTGAGTGATCAATGGGATAGATGTAACGCAGTGGTATTATCATGGACAATCAATTCAGTGGATAAAGCAATAGCTAATGGGATTGTGTTTTCTAACATAGCACATCTCGTTTAGAAGGATTTAGAGGAACGTTTTCAGAGAATAGATGGGGCTAAAATCTATTCTTTACACAGAGCCATATCCACCATCCAACAAAGAACTCTCAGTGTTGCAGCATATTTCACTAAGCTTAAGGAACTATGGGATGAATATTCTCTTATCATTCCTCTACCATCATGCAAGTACACCACTTAGGCCTTTGTTAAAATTGTTCAACAACAATGATTATTCCAATTTCTCATGGGCCTCAAGCCCTCAACGATTCATATCAACAAGTTCGCTCTTAGATTCTCCTTATGTCGCCATTGCCAATAGTAAACCAAGCATACTCCATGATTATCCAAGATGAAGACCAACATGCAATTTCTTCTCAGAATCCTCTGGATGGGGCCACTATGGCAATAAGGGAGGGACATCAAGCTCGCGGAAGAGGCAGAGGTTGCTCTCAAGGAGAAGAGTGTTCTCATTACCATAAGAAGGGACATAAACAGGATAATTGTTATCAGCTTATTGGTTACCCTTCTAACTTCGAAGGCAGAAAGGATTTAGACCATCAAGTCAACCAAACAACCGGTGACTAACCCATACCAAGCTCTCATCTTGTCCTTACACAACACCGATATAATCAAATTTTGAAACTCTTGCAAAAGGATTCAGAGGAGGTGGCAGTCGGTATTGCACCACTACTTGAAGAACATATCTCTGGTTTGCTAAATGCTATTCCAGTTTCTTTAAGTAGAAATCATTGGATATTAGATTCTGGAGCTTCCTGTCATGTTAGTAGTTTGACTATGCTTGATACTGTTAGTATTTATGTTAGACCACCTAGGAAAATAAAAATGCCTCATGGAGATAAATCACTCATATAGGGACTATTAAGCTGTTCAATTCTATCATCCTGCATGATGTTTATTATGCCCCAATAGCTGTCACCCGTATAGGGACTGTTAAGCTGTTTGATTCTATCATCCTGCATGATTTTTATTATGCTCCAGAATGCTGCTACAATGTGATTTCTATTTCTAGATGACTAGAGAAGTTAAATGCATTATTTCTTTTTACCCAAACTCCTGCACTTTACAGGAGATCTTGACTGGGAAATCCCATGTGATTGGTAGACTCTGTGATAGGTTGTACCTAATTGGAAAAGCAATTAAGTTGGATGCTGTTATGAATGATACATATAATGAACATAGCAGTCGTCTTTCTGATCTATGGCATAATCGATTTGGGCATGCTCCTTTAGATGTTCTTAGGCACTTAGAGGCTATTAAAGATGGTATCCACCTTGATTTTAAAGATGGCTGTGTAGTTTGCTCTCAAGCCAAATAGACTCATTTGCCCTTCTCTTGTAGTGTGTCTAGTACTTCTTACTGTTTTGAATTACTTCATATTGATACTTGGGGACCTTATAAAGAACCCACTTATAAATGCCATCGATATTTTCTTACTATTGTCGATGATTTCTCTAAATGTACTTGGATATTCTCAATGTTGAATAAAAATGATAGTATTCAATGCTTGCAAGATTTTATTACTTATGTTCACACTCAATTCTCTGCTACTGTTAAGAAAATTCGAAGTGATAATGGGCTTGAGTTTGTCAACAATCAACTTAAAACTTATTTGAATAACAAAGGCATTCTTCATGAGACTACTTGCCCCTACACACCACAACAAAATGGTGTGGTGGAAAGAAAGCATATGCACCTATTGAATGTTGGTAGATGTCTTGTGCTTCATTCTGGAGTTCCTATTAAATTTTGGGGGGAATGTATAAAAACTGCTGCTTTCTTAATTAATAGAACTCCCTCCAAGATTTTGAAACATCGCACTCCTTATGAACTATTATATCACAACCAACCTGATTTACAACATCTTAAAGTTTTTGGTTGCCTGGCTTTTGTCATTGTCCAAAATTCTCATGATAAATTCTAGCCTAGATCTGAACCTTATGTCTTTATGGGTTATCCTCCAAATCAAAAGGGTTTTCTTCTCTATAACCTCACTACTAAGGCTATGATGGTTAGTAGGCATGTCACTTTTCATGAAACTCAATTTCCTTTTAAAGATTCCATGCCTACTGACCACTAGGGGGTAGTCCTCCCTAAATTAGACCTCTTTTCATATGATTACCATCATCAGTCACACCAATCTAGTTCTGAACCAAATCATATGAATGATCAATTTGGTAGATGGTGACAATCCTGGAAATGAAAAACCCATATATATGGGACGTCATACCTCTGAATCACATAAACCCACAGGTGACAAAAGAGCCCCCACATGATTGAATGATTATATTTGTATGACTACAACATATCTGAATGTAACATTTAAGGTAAAATGCAGTATCCAGTCTATGAGTATATGACTTATGCTAATGTTTCTAATGACTATAAAAATTATTTGTTATCTACCGATGCCACTGCTAAGCCTTGTAGCTTCCAAGAGGCAGCAAAGAACCCGAATTGGATGGATGCTAGCAGAGAAGAAGTGAGGGCCTTGGAACAAAATCATGCATGGGAAGTTGTTGATCTTCCCAAGGGTAAGCATGCTATTGGGTGCAAATGGGTGTTTAAGGTAAAATATTATTCTAATAGTAAAGTTGATAGATACAAGGCTAGGCTAGTAGCTAAGGAATACAGTCAACAAGAAAGGGTAGATTATCTTAAAACTTTTTCTCCAGGTGTAAAAATGGTAACAGTAAGAACCATCCTCACACTTGCAGTAATGCGTAGTTGGCATCTCTTTCAAATGGATGTCAACAATGCATTTCTACAAGGGAATTTGGAGGAGGATGTATATATGAAAATCCCACAAGGATTTGACTGCTTTGGAAAGGATAAGGTTTATAAACTGGACAAATCCTTATATGGTCTTAAACAAGCCTCTTGGCAATGGAATGTCAAGCTTACAGATGCTCTTGTTGAAGGGGGGTTTAGGCAAAGTAAATATGACTACTCCTTATTTATAAAATAAAATTCAAATGAGATCACCCTTGTTTTAGCCTATGTAGATTATTTGGTCATCACTAGAAATAATATTCAAAGAATCATTGAACTTAAAAAACATTTGCATCACAGATTCAAAATCAAGGATTTAGGGGAACTAAAATATTTTTTAGGGCTAGAATTAGCAAGGTCAAAGAAAGGGATTGTTCTTAATTAAAGAAAGTATACCTTAGATCTTATATCTGATATAGGCTTGAGTGGTTCAAAACCCTTGAAGGTGCCTATGGAAAACAATGTTAAGGTGACTCTTGCAGGAATAGGTGGAGATGAATCAAAGAAAAGAAAGAAGTGGCAGAAGCAAAAGATATTTGCTCAACAGGATCCTCTTATGCATGAACCAGCTGCATATCAAAGACTTGTAAGTAGGTTATGTTATCTAACTACCATCAGGCCTGACATTAATTTTGCTGTACAAGTCTTATGTCAATTTATGAGTGCACCCAGAAAGTCCTATATGGCAGCAGTAGTCCAGGTCGTAAGGTATCTCAAAGGGAATCATGGCCTAGGCATTTTCTTGGATGCAACAAAGTCAAGCAAGCTGAAATGCTACGTTGATTCAAAAGTGGGCCGGCTGCCAAGACACAAGATGATTAGTGACGAGGTATGCAATCAAATGTGGAGGATAATTGATTTGTTGGAAATCAAAGAAATAGCAAACAATCTCTAAGTCATCCGTTGAGGTAGAATACAGGGTGCTGAGTGCAGCAACATCTAAACTAGTTTGGGTAGCCAAAATGCTTAAAGACTTGAACATGGGAGATCCAGGACTAGTCAAAGTCTTCTACGACAGCAAGGCAGCAAGACATATTGCAAGTAACCCGGTGTTTCATGAGAGGACTAAACACATCAAGATAGATTGTCATTTTGTTAGGAAAATGCTGCATCAAGGTGTTATTGATCTGTGTCATGTCTCTTCTAAAGAGCAATTAGCAGATGTATTTACGAAACCCCTTGGTAGGGAAGATCATAAAAGATTGTTGCGCAAGTTGGACACCATAAATGTATTTGACCCCCAACTTGAAAGGGGGGTGTTAGACATATTGGGCCTATACGTGTATTAGGCCTTGGCCCGCATGTATTTATCATTATGTTTCATTGAACCTGGATTACTCTATATATAGAAGGGTCTACCAGTCAATTATTGTTGACTTGGTTTTCTATTTCTCCATATTAGATGTCTATTGGTCTATAATACCCCTTTGGTGTAATGCAGTTTACACTAATCTTATATTTAGAACTAAAAAAGTGTGTGTATAATTAATCCTCTTGTAATATTTTGGAGAATCCTAGGTTGACAGAAAAGAGAGGGTGGTGGGGCCTTTCCTGCTTCAACCTATCCATCAATGTTAAGCATAAATCATACTGTGAAATACTAAGAGAGTTTGATTTAGCAAAAAAAGTTAATTTTTTGTTCAAAATATGACGAACCAATATTTAAATTCTCACTAGAATATGTATTTAGTGTCTGACAGTTTCTTATTAAAAAAATAATACAATGAAATATGTTTAAGTTATATACTCCATATCGGAAATTTGGAATCAACTCATCTATTTTATTCGGTTGAAGATGAATGATGGATAGATAATTTTGTATCGTTTTATAAAATTGAATGATTATTTTAGGGATAGAAAAGTCACTTACGCAACACCAAATTTCAACAAAATGGACTTCTCTGCATTTGGCCTTGGAAAAGCAAGCGATGGACTTTCCTTCCTTTTCTGTGTATCACCACGGAATGATTCCATTAGTAATACATTAGTTCCTCCTCTCATCCTCACCCCCCCTTCATTTATAGTTCCTCCATAAACCTGGAACTTAGAAATGGCAGTCGCCCTGGGATCCGACGTCGTTTCGCAGGATTCTGTACTTGGAATTCCTCTTCTGCACCACGATACGGTGAACGGCGCTGTGGACTACAAAGGCCGGCCGGCGGTCAGATCCAAGTCTGGCTATTGGAGATCAGCGTGGTTCATAATAGGTATTCTCGCACTCGATCTTTATATCTCCTTTTCTCTGTTTAAGTGATTGATTTAATTTGTTGTGTGTATTATTGAAGGTATGGAAATGGGAGAGAGGATTGCGTACTACGGTGTAGGGTCCAACCTCATCACGTTCTTGACGGGGCCGCTTCAACAGTCCACTGCCACAGCTGCGAAGAATGTGAATATATGGCAAGGAACGGCGTCGTTGCTTCCTCTGTCGGGTGCTTTCATTGCTGATTCCTACGTTGGACGCTATCTCACTATCATTGGAGCTTCTGTTGTCTACATCTTGGTCAGTTCATTCTCTCACTTTCCTTTTTTTGTTTTTGAATCCTACTTTGGGCTTTGCTATATAATTTGAATCGTTGAAATTGAAATTTATTTTTGCTTTTATCTTTTTTTTTTTTTAAAATTATCTTGATGTTTGTAAAATCTAAAATAAAAATACCCCAATGCGATGAACATAAGCCCAAAGGAAGAGTCTATTTCAAAAGACTAGCATATTAGGAGAGAGAGTCTCTTAAACTTATAAACTTTACAACACTTATAAGATTTTCCAATTTAAGGCTCATAACACAATAACATGCAAACAGCCAATTTTTAGGTTCTTGATCAGCCCTAGTTAGGCAACGAGAGGAGATTGATGAGCGATTTTGTATTATCTCTGTTTCTTAATATAAAAATTAGTTTGACATTTACTTTCTAAATATAAAACCATAATTCACCTTATCTCTTATATTTATTTTTTTTAAAGTTGTTCTTATAGTAGTTGCATATATAAAAATTTCATTAAATGGTAGTTCTAGCTAATACATATGATTAACAAAGGATATTTTAGAAAAAACAACACATATTTAATTACAAATAATTAATTTAACTAATTTTTTTAATATACTCAAATTAGTAGCTAACTCTTATATTAAGGATTAGAGATTGACTCGAATGATATCCATCCAATATTTTATTTAAAAAAATAATTTCTTAATTATCAGATTTTTGAAAAATGATTTTTATTTGAAAATTTTAGGCACAGACCATTGAAATTATATTTCAATGAATCGTACAAATCTCAAGCACTAAAATTCATTTCGGTTTCGTCAAATACCGCTCCGTGATGAAATTTAGGGTTTAGACGATACAAATTTTACAGAACTAAATTTATTATTTTAAAAACATGCCAATTATAAAATTATTTTTATTTCAAATTTAATATTTAAAATTTTGTTTAAAACATGAATAAATTTAAATTGAACTTTGACCGTTCAAAATTAATATGAATAGCCCATATTAAGATAAGCATTTCGTGCTCAATTGCTCATCTTAAGAATATTTAAGGAATAAAATTAGAGCTGCACACGATTTAATAAAATGTCTTAAACATGTGGAACGAATGAAAAAATTACAGCAATACTGACTCCAGTGTGAAGATTGCACCTATCCTCTAGACTCGATATTTTATTTATAGTGCGACATATGATGATTATTTTCATTTTTTGTGTAAACTTTGTTCTCTCTCTATATATATATATGATTATTAATAAATATTTATAAAATTTAATTGAATTATTTAGATTAAAAAGTTTTGATCTCACTTGATTTTTTTTTTCATACCTGATCTTTCTGGAATTTTACCTTAATTCCTTATCTCTGTCCTACCGTGGAGGCATTCCCCATGTTCTTAAAATTTTATATCCACCTAACTTTTAATCCAGTCTCTGGCCCAAAATAAAAACTTTTAATCCACAGTCACTTAACTTGGTCTGTCTTTTTCTTAACTAAAATGTGCTTGCTTAGCATAAATATTTATCAGTAATATTTTTAACCTACGTTTTATTTTATTTTGACTTTAAATTTAACATTTTTTACTGTATTTATTAGTTTTTAATTTAATATTTGTTGGCACCTATCTGATCTATTTAAATTACATTATGGGGGCAGATTGAAAAATTCAATATCATTTATGAAAATTTTTAGGGAAAATGACAGAAAAATTATTGTTGAATTTGAAAATCCCCAAATAGTCACTTGAATAAAAGAAATTTCTATTTAGATATATGTTATCAAATGGGAATTTCATAATTTGATAGAATGACCATATTACTCTAATGTTTTTTTTTTTTTTTCAAAAAACAATCTTGAGTCCTCTTTTGCTAGCCACCAGAGCTATAGCACCGGTGGTTATGCCAGAGTTTAGGTGGGCCGCTAGTCATTGGAACTCCTGCATCATAAGAGTTATTAATATTGTTATATGACTTTATCTTGAAAAGCCTATTGCTAATAGTGATACTGAACTGTTTAATAATATTAAAAAACTTGTTAACTGTGTTACAAGACTTGAAAATTTTCCCATTTATTATAATATGACTAATCTCTAAATGAGTAAATAGCTCTCAGTTCATATGGTTGGCATAATGAGAGTTGTTAATCATGTATGAATGTTAAAAAAAAAATCTTAGTTTAAAAAAATCTGAAAAAACATGTGATTAATGGCATTTATGGAGTTATAAATATCATGATAAGAGCTGTTAATCACATTACCAATGTTGAAAAAATCTCAATTTAAAAATCTCACTATTATAACGATATTAACAATTTCATTAACGCATTAACAATTCTCATGATTGCATTAATCATATGATCTGAGAGCTTTTTACACTTTGAGAGATTAGTCATGACATAATAAATAGAAAAATTTTCAAGTCCTATAACCCAGTTAATAAGTTTTTTAATGCTATTAACAAGTTCAGCGTTGCCGTTAATTATAGATTTTTCAAAAAATTCAAAAAGTGGTATTTTTACAACTTTAATAATGCCGTTAACAAGTCATGTAATAATATTAGCAACTCTTATAACACCAGAGCTTTGGTGAATGGTGGCCAACCTAAACTATGGCATGGGTCGCTGAAGTCAGGGCTCTCATGGCCAGCCGATGAGGGGAACTTAAGATCAATTTAAAAAAGATCACAAGGACAATATGATCATTCTATCAAATTATAAAATCCCTATTTGGTCATGTGTGTCTAAAGGGGAATTTCTCTTATTTGGGTAATTGTTTGGGAATTTTCAAATTCAACAATCATTTTTCTGTTATTTTTCAAAATTTTTTAGGAAAATTGGTGATAAACTATTTGAAAATTTTATTGTCTAAAAAACCTAAATTTGAGCAAATGCAAATTTTCTTGAACTGTATGCAACACTGGAGAATTTGAAACAATGAAAAGAATGCAAGGAACTTGACGTTAGTATTAATTGTCCTTTATAATATTTGAATTTAAAGTATGATAACCAAAAAAAAAAAAAAGGCATTCCGCAAATTTTGTATGCCCCTTTGGCAACTAACAATAAATATGGATATTTTTATCTTTTTCATTGTCACAGTTTTCTTTTTCTCTATTTAAATTTCATGAGCCGTTTTCTTCTTCTTTTCATAATTGTCGTAACTTGAAAAGGTCAAAAGTAGCATGTATTTGGATAAGTTAGCATATTCTTGTGAATTTTGGATAAACTATAAATATTTCATTTTCAATCTTATCAACAATATAATTTTTTTTTTCATGTTTAAAACGTACATCCTTGTCTAGCTTATCGTTTTCAAATGAAATTAAATCAAATTGTAAATATATATGTTTCATTTTCTGAACACATTATTAAAAATAAAAAGTCAATTTTTAGTTTTGAATATGTTCAAGAAAAATAATTATGAATTAAATTTAACGAAAACATATATTAAAGAG